AGAAAAATGTCCCCGAAGGTGAACACGAAGTTTTCGATGAAGAGGATCATAACGAGAATGATTTTTGGGATACTGTTGAATTGCTCGTGATGATGATGTGGTAATTCCTAGAACAGTTGCCACTCACCATGATGTCACCGTTACACAAAGGATTTACGAGGAAGTTCAAGATAACGAGGATGAAATGCCATTTACAAATCAGGATTTGATTACTTTATCTAGACATAGACATGAGTCTGGTGGGAGTTCACATGCTGGGCCGAGTACACGGTCTTCTAATTGTTCGCGTATAGTTCCTGATGATGAAGATTTACATGTCGATCAATTGTTTGACACGAAAAGAGATTTGTAAGAAGCTGTGCATCGAATTGCAATGAAACATAATTTTGAGTTTAAGGTAAAAAAATCAAACAAGTCTACATACACAATTATTTGTGTGGACAACAATTGCAGTTGGCGTTTGAGAGCGACAAAAATTGACACAAATGAGTTCTTTGTAGTTCGCAAGTATGTGTAGGAACATACTTGTGAAGTGGGTATTCGTCAAAATGATCACAGGCAAGCTCGATTATGGTTTATTGGTCGATAGATAATGCACAAGTTTCAGGACCCACGGACGATTTACAGACCTACAGATATCATCAATGACATCCGTTGGGAGTATGGGTAGTTATGAGTTACCAGAAGGCCTGGAAGGCAAAACAATGTCCATTGGAAGATTTAATGGATTCGACAGAGGAGAGTTATGCCAAATTGGCCAGGTATTGCCACAACATGGTGATAACTAATTCTGACTCGGCGTTTTTTATTGAAACCGATGGGCAGAATAGCTTCAAGTATTTTTTTATGGTTCTTGGACAATGCATTAGAGGTTTTCGAAATGCGATGCGACCTCTAATTCTAGTTGATGGTACAGCCCTAAAAGCTAGATATGAAGGGAAGTTGATTATTGCTACATGTCAAGATGCCAACATCCAAATTTACCCTCTTACATTTGGCATTGTCGATGGAGAGACTGATCTAGCAATGCGTTGGTTCTTCATGAAGCTGAGAGAAGTAATTGGGGATATTGAGAACCTTGCATTTGTGACTGACCGGGGCAGTCAATAATAAATGGTATAGCCGAAGTTTTTCCGGAAGCATATCATGGTTATTGCATGTACCACATTCAGGGCAACCTGAAGACTAGGTACCGGGGTAGTGGCATCGTTGCATTGTTTAGGAGAGCTGCAGAAGCTTACAGTTTTGAAGAGTTTACGAAGTTCATGGGCGAAATAGAACATAAATCTGAAAGTGCATGGGAATATCTATCAAATATGGGGGTCGAACATTGGGTACAGTCACATTTCCCAGGACGTCGATACAACATGATGACGTCGAATAATGCGGAGTCGCTCAATACATTATTCAAGAAGGATCGAGAGTTACCAATTCTCGCAATGATTGAACATATTCGTAGCAAGTTGCAACAGTGGTTTTCTGACCGACGTGAGGAATCCCAGAATTGCACAAGTGTGCTAGCTCCGGCACAGGAAGATCGACTATTCAAAACTCTGGAAGTGGCAAAAGCTCTATTTGTGGAACCACTAGATCAATTTCGCTTCTCCATGAGATGTGAGCGTAATGTTGGATACATTGTAGACTTGAATGAAAATACCTGCACGTGTAGACAATTTCAGTTGGAGAGTTTTCCATGTGCGCATGCTGTCGCAGTGGCTATGTATAGAGGATTTCCACCACACAGCTTATGCAGTCATTATTACATGGCTGATTTTTGGAGAGCAGCGTATGCTGAAACTATATTTTCTCTACCAAATGAAGCCGAGTGGGAAGTTCCTGATTATATTGTAGCACCTAATAATTTGTTGCCACCTGAAGTTCGAACGCGTACTCCTGGTCGTAGACGGACGTCTAGAATACCATCTACAGGAAAGTTTCCACAATCGCGTAAGTGCGGAAGGTGCGGCGCTACAGGGCATACACGTCAATTTTGTACAAGTCAGCTCTCACTAAACAATGACTCGACGGATGTGTAGTATCTATATAAATCATTTGTATTCTCTATTTGTAATATGCTTTTTCTATTCTTAATTTAAATCGGATGTAATTTTAATCACATTGTTTAATTACTCTTTCTAACAGCATATTTGAATAAAAAAAATAGGTTAAGTATAATAAATGTATAGTTGGTTAAGTTTGTTTAATTAATTATATTAATTGGTTAAGTGAAAAATTAATTATTTCATATTTAATTACTTATTTCGATTATTTATTTGAATAAAAATAATAGCACTTAGTTCGAGTTTTCGTTTAAGTATTTCTTTCATTAATTATCTTCATTTGGCACGTATATTTGATTATTTATATTCCTTTTAAATTATATTTCGTTAATTATCTTAGTGTGTATATTGTTTATTTAATATTTGATTGCTATATTTCGATTACTTATGTAAATGAAAATAATAATTATTCTATTTATTTTCTTTTAATACAAGTGAGGCAACGATATATATAAACTGACAATATGGAGAGATTACAGACACAACAACAATGTAAATTAAAATAATGATATTTTGTTAATCAAATATTTTAAAAAATTATTACATTACAACACGAATCATACTGAAGTAAACAACATTTACATTTCAATAAAATAATATACAATGCACTAAGGATCACAATTATATTCATACAAGTCGCAAGCTAATTTATGCCTCCACATATCAATCCAAGACTGATTTATTGTCTCAACATTGTGGCCAATGCTCAAAAACTCTATGTACTTTATTGCAAATAAGCCACAGTCGCCCCTGCAACCGAAGAAGAATATATTAGTTCGATAACATATAACTGAAAATTAAAAGGTAAAATTAAAAAGTTTTAAATCCTTACGATCTTTTTTGTTTTGCCGTCGTCATGTTCCGCACAATAGCTAATCTGTCATTTACTCAAATCATCGCCTGATTAGCCATCATGGGCACGATCACAGCCATTGGCTCCAGAATGTGCTCTAGTTGACTTTGTGTCAGACAGCTGTGATTAGAGTCGTACACATACATAGTGGAATTTGCAAATACAATTTCCACTGAAAAACAGTGTGAGTTCGCGATCACTGGAATGTACATATGTGTACAATCTGTCCACGGCTTTCCGCACCTCGGCTGTAGCCCAATCACCCACTCTACCATGTACTCGGGCAGAACATATTTATTCCCCTTGCTTAGGAGCTCGTGATGCTCAATATCTACGATATGAACAAACTCAGAGCTCAGGTAACTCGACTAGGACTGTCATAAGATCTCGGGTATCTCTGAGCCCGATCGCGTAACAATTCCATAGCCAAGTCGATATGCTGGAACCAAAAAAAAAAAAACACCAACAAAAAAGATAGAAACGTTTAAGTAAATGAACCAAGAACTTCTATAAATATAATAAATGAAAACTCAAAAAACTTACAACATCAGTGAGCCAAGTTGAGGTCGCCAGTACATCTTCGAACCACCTTTTAGCGTTGGGCACGGTCATACAACCGATGGTATAACTATCTCTGAAAAATGAAAAAAAGTTACGAAAAATACAAAAAAATAGTAGCAAAATCATAAAATACTTACTCGGACTTAAGGGATTTGAACCAATCATCGAACGCCTTCTGTCTGACCGGGTCGATGTTGCGAAAAACATTGGGGAACGTCTCATCCACAAATCCCCTTCTCTTCGTCTCGGTCGTGTATGGGGAAATAATGTACTGTGACGGCAATCTCGATCTCTTACCGACCATCAGCTCTGGCGCGTCATTAGCACGCTTCTTACCCTTCGGCACCTCCGTCGTCCCCTCCGAGACGAATACTACATCGTTATCCGTCATCTCTGGCGTCCTCTCATCCTCCACAAGCCCCTCATCCCCCTCTACTACCACCTCTGGTGTCCCCTCCGCTACCTCCTTGGTCACCCCCTCCGGCACTCCTGTCTCTCCCTTCGGCACCCCTGTCCCTCCCTCCACCCCCTCTGTCATCCTGACCTCCTCCAGCACCTCCACCCCCGCCTCCTCCTCCCCGGCCATCTCGACCTCATCCGGCACCTCCACCCCGGCCATCCCGGCATCCTCCGGCACCTCCGACCCGACCTCCATCCCTTCCTTCCCGGGCTCCGGCACCAAATCAAAAAACTTATTGATTCTTGCGGCCGTTGCCCACCAATCTCGAGGAACACCAGTCTCCCCAACACTCCCTCTGATAGAACCTCGGAAGCCTGCTACATCGCCCCGAAGTGCTGCAACCTTAGTATGAAGCTCTCCTAAATCTCGTCGCAGCACTCCAATCTCATCTCGCAGTACTCCTACCTCTGTCGTAATATCTCGTCGCAACACCCCTATCTCATCTTGCAGTGCTACTACCTCTGTCGTAAATGCACGTCGCATCGTTCCCAGCTCCTCTCTAATAATACCAGTCATGCGTGCAAAGAAATCATCTGAATGACGATTCTGACTGGGTGCAGGCGATCCACGTGGAAAGTGGGTGGGTGCGGGAGACGGAGATCTCCTCGGAGAATGTGATAATGGCGGTAGAGGTGATCTCATCGGTGGAGGTGACGGAGATCTCATCGGTGGAGGTGAAGGAGATCTCCTACGTGGAAGTGCTCGTCGTTCTACTGGATGACGCTCCTACACGGGGAAGACAATTAATATTAATAATCCACACATGAATATTATAAATCGGATTAAATAATGATATTAAATAAACGTACCCTATTTCTATCCGGAACGGACTCAAACACTGGATCGTTTTCAATAGGTCGAACATGCAATTCATGTACATACATTTGATCCTCCTCTTCCATCGAAACAACCAACTCAGCATGAACTTCGAGCTGACATATCATATTTCAACATGTTAACGAGCATGTATCGAGTCGAGTTAATGTATGTACAATATAAATTGCAAATATATAATACTCACCTGAGGATCGTCGAGGATAGCTGTCAAATCTTTAGCCGATGGCTTCTAATGTGCTCGCCAATGAAGCATTCGTAGGTAGCTAGTCTCCCTTCTGATAGCCCATTTGCTACCCAAAGCAGGGATAGCTTCATATGCCCACAACTGCAACAATTACCAAAATATATATATATATTATTTATACATTTAATAAAAAAGTTTAACATGCATTATGTTAAGCTGAATATTTACCTGCAAAGTCATGCAAAAGCCATATACATCATATTTGCAGTCGCCCCTCTCCGATTTTGGCATAGTATGTACCCTCCTGAATACGTGGAGAGTATCGGAGTAACATCTTCGATCCCATAGAAAGCTATTGAAAGCATCGATATCATCAACAACATCTAATGAAAAGAGGTCAATCGATATCCTACGATGTCGACACCTTAATATACTTTCCAATATATACACCAATCCTAGCTTAAACTTGTCTAACATGTGATCGCATTTCCTAAATGCGTCCTCTAACTGTGGTGGTGTAACCGGCCCTTTACCTCCAAAATATAAATCTAATAACCTTTTATTTGGTATAATACGGGCTCTCGCTTCTTCTTCTTCTATATATCTCAAGCCTGTAATGAGGGCAAATTCAAGGATCGAGAATCTCGATACCTTCCTGTCCCCCATAGCAAAAAAAAGCTGATCGCCATCGACTGATTTAAGCAGCCGGAGTAATAACGAATCAATAATCTGTCCAGAGAACTACACGTCCTTCAACGAATAGAAGGACCATAAAAACGACCGATGGAGTATGTCGATGTGCTCCTCATCCAATCCCTCAATCACAGTCGCATAACTGGAAAAGTTATAATACGTCGTAATTTTTCCCAAATGAGCTCCCAGATCATTGTCAATATGATATTCCATCCTACAAAAATAATACATGTTAAAACCATATACAAGAGATTATAAATAAAATATCGTATCTTCAAAATTAACCAATAAGATTTCAATTAATAAAGCAATAAATAGATTCATCCAATCACATATTAAAACAGTTAAACAAAAAAATTCTCACATATTTGATTATTTAATATTTCATTAAAAATTATATTTCGTTAATTATCTGAATGTATATATTACTCATTTCATATTTAATTATTCTATTTCAATAAAAATAATAATATTTAATTCGATATTATTTTCTATTTTTCATTTCACTATTTCTTTAATTAATTATCTCAATTCGATAAGTCAGAAAATTATTATTCAATTTAATTTATTATTTAAATTTTTGTTAATTATGCATATTAATCATTTCATATTTAATGATTCTATTTCGATTATTTATTTCAATAAAAATAATAATATTTAATTCGATTTTTCATTTCACTATTTTTTAATTAATTATCTTAATTCGATAAGTAAAAAAATATTATTCTATTTAATTTATTCTTTGACTATTTCGTTAATTATGCATATTACTCATTTCATATTTAATTATTCTATTTCGATTATTTATTTCAATAAAAATAAAAAAATTTAATTCGATTTTTCATTTCACTATTTCTTTAATTAATTATCTTAACTCGATAAGTAAAAAAATATTATTCTATTTCATTTATTATTTAAATATTTTGTTAATTACGTATATTACTCATTTCATATTTAATGATTTTATTTCGATTATTTATTTCAATAAAAATAATAATATTTAATTCGATTTGTCATTTAACCATTTTTTTAATTAATTATCTTAATTCGATAAGTAAGAAAATTATTATTCAATTTAATTTATTATTTAAATATTTTGTTAATTATGCATATTATTCATTTCATATTTAATGATTCTATTTCAATTATTTATTTCAATAAAAATAATAATATTTAATTCGATTTGTCATTTAACAATTATTTCGATTAATTATCTTAATTGCTTAAGTAAGAAAATTATTTTTCAATTTAAATATTTTGTTAATTATGCATATTATTCATTTCATATTTAATGATTCTATTTCAATAAAAATAATAATATTTAATTCGATTTGCCATTTAACAATTTGTTTAATTAATTATCTTAATTGGTTAAATAAGAAAATTATTATTCAATTTAATTTATTTTTTAAATATTTAGTTAATTATGTATATTATTCATTTCATATTTAATTATTCTATTTCGATTATTCATTTGAATAAAAATAATAATATTTTATTCGATTTTTCATTTTACTATTTCTTTAATTAATTTTCTTAATTGCTTAAGTAAGAAAATTATTATTTAATTTCATTTATTCTTTAAATATTTCGTTAATTATGTATATTATTGATTTCATGTTTAATTACTCTATTTCGATTATTTATTTGAATTAAAATATATTAATATTTTCATTTAAGTATTTTTTAAATTAATTATATTAATTGTTTCCATAATTAATTATTTTAATTTTCTTAAAATGTATCTTATTTGTTTCATAAATTTAATTACTAAACTTATTTAATTACTAAACATATATTTATTATTTATTTCGTATATTTAATTACTAAACATATATTTAAGTCAAAACAAAAAATTAAAATTCTATTTAATCTATTTTTAAATATTTTCGTTCTAATTCTTAACATATTATTTATTTCATATTTAATTACATTTTTTAACATAAAAATTAAATAAATTAATGAAAATAAAAATAAAAATATATGAATGGTCGGACGGACCATCTGATGGTCCGTTACGGATCGTTACGGACCAAAGAGGCGTCCAGCTCGCCGGAAAACTCCATTTTCGACGAGCTCCGTCTCTTTTTTCCAGTTTTTTCAACATTTCAACCTCAAATTCGATCTTTTCTTCCATTTTAACCATAAAAAATTGAATTTAACTCATTCAAATTTACACATTTTCATAAAAATTATTTATAGAGAACATCTCTAACCTTCCAGAAAAAGGCGTTTCTCCGACTGATCGTGGTGTGTTCAGAGAGGTCGAAGTGGGACAGGTTCGGGTCGTCGGTAGGCGCCGGTTCCGGACTCCTTTTTTTTCTCTCTATTTCTCTTCTCTTGGTTTGCAAATGAGGGGGGTATTTTCGACCATAATAATTTTGTTTACATTTCTTTTTTTTTTTATTACGAAAATTTTGGTCAAAGGCCTTTGTGGAAAAGTGGGTGGGTGGGGCAGCCATTAGCCACCATTTCCTCAATTGTTGAGGAAGAAGGTAACGGGTCTTCGTTGCTTCTCTGCTCTCACGAACACAGTGATGGAAAAGAGGATGTTTCCCGTGTTTTCAATTTTATCGTGTTTTCTACTGAAAATGCACGAAACCTATTTTTGACGTTTTGTGTTTTTAATACAATTTTTTTTCTTCCAAAAAGTCATTTAGGAAGGAGAACGTATTTTCACCGTTTTAAAAAATCAAAAACAGAAAACGTCTTGAAAATAGGAAAGAGAACAGTCCCTTAAATTTAACATTTTTCACTTTGATAATTACAAATTTACAGGATTGCTATTTTGAAGAGTTGAACTTGAATAAATTACAAAAATATGTAACAACCATTTAAAAAAAAAAGAAGGAAAAATTGCAGTCGAGGTACCAAATCTTTCGTTTATTAGCAGACTTTGCCCAAACCTTTAATTTGTGCCACCGAAGATACCAAACCTTTAAAAAATGTGTGAGGCCAGTCCAAAATGACGGTTTCCGTTTGTTTGACCGCCAAAACTGTCAGTTGACCCCTTTAATGATAATTTCAAGAATTTTCCCCAAATAAGTGAAGGGCAACATGGTCATTACACACATTTCCCTCCTATTATATACTTCACTGTTTATTTCCCTCCATTTCTTTATCACTATATATTACCTATATTTTCTCTCACAGGTAGTAAAAAAAAATAATCAGCACGCACATGGAGGGGAATGTATGCAGATGTGGTTCCCCAGTGCAGATGAAGACCTCGTGGACGAACTTGAACCCGGGAAGAAGATTTCTCACTTGTTCTCGAAGCCAAGATGTGGGTGAATGCACCTTCTTTATGTGGTGTGACCCTCCGATATGTGAGAGATCGAAGGAACTGATTCCTGGTCTATTACGAGCTAGGAGGGAAATTGAAGCTGAAATCGACACCTTTCAAGCAACAAAACCAAATGTGTGGAAGATCTGGCTCTTCGGCTTTGTGTGTGGAGTGTTTGCAAAATGGATTTGTTCCTAGGTATGTAGGGTCAGATTGTAGGATTTTAGTTTTTTGTTCCAGAAATTTGAGCTTAGGGTTTCGAAATGGAGCCATGTGCTAGATGTTGTGAAATGCATATGTAAAAAAGGAAAAATTGTGTTGTACCTTTTGACTTGAAATTTAACGATATTTTCCTGGCCTTTATGTCAAATGCGAAATTAAAAGAGCAAATTACACTTCAAACTTATCTGAAGAAGGTGCAGCATAAGCACCAAACCTTATAACGATTCGCAGAATCAGTACCAAACCTTTTCTAATGGTTTCAGACAGAGTACCAAACCTTCAAAAACATTGCAGTAAAGGTACCAAACGTTTGATAATATGTTCATAGGAAGTATCAAACATTCTCATATATTTCATAATCGCCTGCACATCATATCTTACGAATACAATTTCAGAAACCAACGACAAACAGCAGAAACATAATGCAAGATATTCGACATCAACATTATCATCACATTGAACAATTTCATCAAAAATTCCAATTACATCTACAAAATACACAGCATTGGAAGCATATATTTTCAGTTCAGTTTACAAAAAACCACAGCATTTTTCCAAAAAGGTAACTATACAAGAGAAACCACATAATATTCAAGATTGCGATCCTCTATGCTTGGACTTCTTTGTTTGTGACTTGGAGGTTTGCGTTGAATGTGCTTTTCTCTTCCCCTTTGTTGATCTGGTATGTGTATCTTCTTGTGTGGTTGGTTGAGATTGTTGCTGTGAACTATCTTCACCAGGCAGTGCCTCCTTACAGCTTTTTTTGTTATGTCCAAACCCTCCACAGCGTTTACACGTCATCTTCATGCCAGTCCTTCCCATCTTAACGCCTGCAGGTGGCTCTGCCTGTGACCTCTTCCTCAATTTTTTGGGTCTGCCATCCTATTTTCTCTTCTGAGGTTGATTGAGAGGATGCTTTCCCAATTCTGGCCACAGTTCAAGGCCTGACATCGGGTGGATCACTGGGGAGTAACATTTCAGGTATGTCTCCTTGCTATACCATGGGTCGATGTACTCATATATGCCAATATCCCTTGAAAGCATGCCTGATATTGCATGGGGACATGGTATTCCAGTGAGCTGCCATTTTCTGCAAGCACATGCATGTTCTGTCAAGTCAACATTCCACCTCAAACCGTCTCTGCTACTTATCTCAAATTTCTGGTTACCTTCATAGTCTGCCTTCAAGTACCTTGCCTCAGACTCAGCCTTTTCAATGATTTTCACAATTCTTGGCCCGAATGCATGATCCCACCTCTGTGCCGCTTCCCCTTCTGCATTCATCCTTATCATTTGCTGATGCCGAATTTTCTCTAGCATGGAGAAGATGGACCTGTCTCTGGCAACAACAATGGAAGAGTTGAATGCCTCACACAAATTATTAAGAAGAATATCACATCTCGAATGGTCTTCAAAATGGGATCTAGTCCACTGGGAAGGAGGTTTGTCAAGGAACCAGTTGTAAGCCTCTTCACTTATGTCTTTTAACTCATTCATTGCACTCTTCCACTCCGGCACTGTTGTTACCCTTGCTGTAGTCCAAAATAGGTTCTTAAGTGCCAGACCTTTGTGTGCCAAGGTAAAATTGCTATAAAGATGTCTAGCACAACACCTATGCTCTGCTCCTTCACAGTATTGACTTATGGAATCCACCAAACCCTTTTGTTTGTCGGAAATGAATGTCCAAGCTCGAGGGTTGTTCATCCCTATGTCATCAACCAACAATTCTATGAACCATTGTCAGTTTGTTTTGTTCTCTATATCCACAACTGCCCATGCTGACGGGAACATACAGTTCTCACCATCGATGCCAACAACTGCCAACAACTGCCCACCTTCTGCAGATTTTAGGAAGCATCCATCCAACCCAACAACTGGCCTGTACCCAGCCTTAAACCCTTCCTTACAAGCCCCTATGCAGATGTACAATCTTTTAAAAGTATGTCCCGAACCTTCGATTTGCACTGTACTGTCTGGATTTGTTCTCTTCAATTCCTCACCGTAATCCAATAAAATTTTGTACTGCTCAACTACAATCCCATTAATAATTTCTGCACATTTCGATCTTGTCCTGTAAAACTGATGTTTTGAAATCTCATACATGTAGTCCTCTTTCACAGTCTCCATAAAACTGCTCATTGGAATGTTTGGATCAGACCTAAATTTTCTCACGTATTTCTTTGCCAGAAAACCTGAATTAACCCTTTTATTTTGCCACACCATAGTACATGCGTGCTAAATGTGTTAATTCTAAGACTCTTGTCAGGTTGTTGGTACGCATATAAAACCCAAGGACAATTATCTTGACACCGAACTCTCAACTGTGTCCTCATATTTTTCACGTATCTCAGTTGCCTGGAATTTTTTTACTGAGTATTGAACTACTGCATTCCTTAGAATCTTGACGTTGTCGAATTTCATCCCTGGTAGAAATGAATTAAACCAGAATGCATTATCATCCAAATGAATTAAACCAGAAATGAATTACACAAAACAGTGGACATTACCTAGCTTGAACTGCAGATCTTCCATATCAGTTGCAGGGTTAAACCAGCACATATTCTTCCTTCTGCAGATGATCCCTCAGCTTCGGTATCACTGGGTAAGCTTCTAAGCTCACTGGAGTCTTCGTATTATGTTCCAGATTCTTCCCCAGCAGCTGCCTCACCTTCCTGCACATCCCTTACACCTTCCTGCTCACCACTTGCACCAATGTCAAAACCTTCACTCAACCTGAAATATGTGTTTTCATCATTATCCTCCATAGCAATATTTTCTTCATGCTCGTACTCCGAGTCAGTGAATTCCTCTCCCAAAATACCCTCCTCATTTTCATCATCCAGCTCAGGACCTTCACCAAACCCCACATCAGTTTCAGCATCCTACACCTCTGGTTCGGCATCATGCAACTCATGTTCAGCAACTTGCTGCTGTGGTCCAGAAACATGCACATCAATTTCAGCAGGCTGCACCTCTGCTTCGGCATCATGTTCAGCAGCCTGCACCTCTTGAGCAGCATGCAGCTCTTGCTGAGCCTGCTGCTGTGGTCCAGAAGTATGCACATCAATTTCAGCAGGCTGCACCTCTGCTTCGGCATCATGTTCAGCAGCCTGCGCCTCTTGTTCAGCAACATGCAGCTCCTGCTGAGCCTGCTGCTGTGGTTCAGCATCATGCAACTCTGTATACTCATGCTCTGTTCCATGCATTGCATAAACTTCCTCTTCATCTGCTTCCATGTCATCCACTTCATCAACTACATACATGTCATCACCTTCTACTGATTTGTCATAAATCTCAATAGCATAGCATGGTTGCTGCTCATTCAATGCTTCACCAGACTTTTGAACCTTCACCAACTCCTCACCAGTCTCACAATCAAACACTTGAACATCCTTCTGCTCTGTTTCATCCCAAGGCAACTCCAAAACCTCAACTACAGGCAAGCAATACCGTTCAGCTGTCCTATTATCACCAAGCCACTTCACTGAATTCATGAAAACTGAGTTTTTAACCAGCCAAAATGAACCTTCACTCATTCTTTTCTTCTCCATCTTGTACAGATATCTAATTCTATCAGAATCTAACATCTTCACGGCATTGTCCAAAAGAAATCTATTGAAAAAATCAGGGTCGATATAGTTTATATAACTTATTTTTCCATGCTCATACACAAAATTTCTCATCTTCTGAAATAAAATTCCACCATGATGAAGTCGTATGCTGAAGTACTTTGAATTTTCCCCTGAAAAAATACTAAAAAAAAAGGAAGTTAAGCCCTAGCCCTTTTCGATTCGAGCAACGAACATGTGCAGAAAAGATAGTACACAAGCATTACGCTCTAATACACCAAATCACTTAAAATTTTTGAATTCCCCAGTACGTGAACACAATCAAACAAGGGAACTTCATAATCATACAACTTCACACCGTAAATCGAAAACAGGGGAAGACACTTATCATACACGGGTTGGGGAAGAGAGCCTCGAATGTGGACTGCAATGTCCACTGGATGTTCGTCTTCTTCGAAGTCCGTTTCGTCTTCTTCGTGGGTTTTCGCAGGTTCCATAGTGGATAGTGAGTGGAAGGAAGTTGCAACTGACGTGTTTGATGTTAAGGAGGGAAATGTGTGTAATGACCATGTTGCCCTTCACTTATTTGGGGAAAATTCTTGAAATTATCATTAAAGGGGTCAACTGACGGTTATGATGGTCAAACAGACGGAAACCGTCATTTTGGACTAGCCTTACACATTTTTTAAAGGTTTGGTATCTCCAGTGGCACAAACTAAAGATTTGGGCAAAGTCTGCTAATAAACGAAAGGTTTGGTACCTCGACTGCAATTTTCCCCAAAAAAAAAAAAAATTATAAACGGGATAATTAAATAATTGTGAAAAGAAAATGGTGAACGAGGAGTGGGTGGAGAAAATGAGGTAGGGGGCGGATATATCAATGCACGAACTAACATACACCCAGCTCGCTCCCATTTATATGTTTCTCTCAGCTATAAATCAATAAATTTCCTTTCGAATTCTCATTGCTCTTAGATCTTCATTCCATTTCATATCTTCGTGTACAATCGGATTTAAAATCTCCGATGGAGTCCGCCGCCGTTCTCCGCTCCTTCCATTGTCAGTCCTCTCTCTCTATATGCATTTTATTATTTATTTATTACTTTGAATCTCAGCTTGCATATATGATTTATGTCTTTAAACAGTAATATTCTTATCTAATGAGCTTTGAGTTTTATTTTTTACTCTACTATGCGTGTCGTTTGTTTTGATGACATTTACTGGCTACATAATAGACTATTAATTGAAAAATAAAACGGAATGTGCTATGTAGTTCTGATTTTATCTTATATCTCATCAGTCATGCGAGTAATTTGAAATTTGTTTTAGTTCTTTGGTTGTATTCTGGACTCAATTAGATGTAAACTGAAGGAAATAAAGCTGAAAATGCTAATTACGGGGTTGTAAATGGTTTTAGATTCCTTAATTAATTTTACCTAGTAACTTTGGTATTTTGATCTGCAAGCGAGGTGATTCAGGTGAATATAGACTAACTAATTAAGAATATACAAATCAGTCAGTGTTAAGTTCACAAAAATTAGTCATTTGTGTTCTAATTTTTGTGAACTATTCAAGATAAATTTTTAAGTCTAGAATCCCATCTGCTCTAAGCGGGATAAAATAAACATCTCTACTTTTGTGCCTTAGTCCATGTTCTTGCTCCGTAAGTGTTGATTATTTAATTTAAAGGTTTGCCAAAATTCTACCCGCCAGCATATTTACAAAACCTTTGGTTTTTAATATTTCTGTAAGTGACTTCAAAATCACTTTATGGTTAATATGTAGACTGTGTTACTCCAACTCTTCGAAATACATGGAGCACCTGAGTAGAACGTTTGACACTAGAATAAGAATATGAGGCACTATTCTAATATTTTGAAAGGCATCGAATATGTACGATTGTTCTAAAATACAACAACAAGAAGAAGGTAAATCTTATTATCAATAAATTTAGGATGTTCAATTTGTTGAATAAATATTTCAAATAGATTTGAGTATGAGTTTGAACCTTTAATATTATAATAGACTTCATTTAATCATGTTATAATTAAAGAAAACGTAATCTGTACTTTTCCATGTCCACATATTCAAAATTTGAAAGTCTGACCGAACCTAATGTTTAGACATTTATCTTCATGTTTAAGTCACCATTTTTTTGGAATTTTCTATCATTTAACAGCCCAAGTTTCCTTGTTTCCCTGCAAATCCTGAATTTCCAACTTACAAGGTTTTTTTGAGAGTCACCTTTTTTAAAAAAAGAAACAACAATTAACACGAGTCCATACATTATATCATGCAGCTAGATACTTTGAGGGCTTTTTCATTAATGTCTTACTCTATATTCATTTAATAGTCTCTAGGTTGTTATATTTCTTGAATTGTAAGTTGTCTAGTTAATTTAACTTGTAAGTACCTTGGTTAGATCCATTGCTCTTGTCACAATTGAATTGGTACAAAGTGATACTCAATCTATATAGTCACATTATCCTCCAAAGTTGATATGGAACTGAATGTTATAAACTTCCCACTCGAATATGTCACATCCTTGTTGCAGCCAATATACAGGTTATGGCCCTTTTCACAAGTCCAGGCCACTAAGTGAGTTGTACCATGAAGGTCAGGCAGTACATGTGAGGACAAAGTCAGACCCTTGGCCCTGCCAACATAGTTGGTAGGCCAACTGGCACAAAATATTTTAGCTCATGTTACCAAGCCCTTAAAAATCAGTCACACAGTCCCTTAATGATATGGAATGCCACATTACAGAATCCTTTGATGTTGGACTCAACTAAGGATTTTGGTGGGACATGGAAGTTGCTGAAATTTAGATCATAGTGTTTTGTCAAAGATGGTGTACCTAAGTCATCAATATGGGGACATCTTGTTCAAAACAAAAATTAGATTGTATTAGGATGCTCCAAACATGTTTTACACAGATTTCTTATAGAATAATACTCAAACTGGTGCATTTTAAAGGAACACATATTGATTTGAAGAGAAACCAGCCTTATTTCTTAATTATAATCTAATGGACTGTACTACATATCAGGTAACTAGAGGTTTGATATATATACTAATATGCATTTACACAGCTTTGCATGAATGAATCAGTGTCAAGGAAACCTGAATGGTAAACACTCTTCGACGAAATTGTCCAATCAATGATGAAAACCAGTATATAATGTGGTTCTATAATTGGTCTAAATTAGAAGTGTATCAGTTCCGATCTTGTATAAACTTTAGTTATCCTTGTGTAAAAACTACACCTACTTTATACGAAAGTTGAAGCTTGATGACTATTGTTGTCTTCCAGATTCTGTCAGCTCAAGTTCTTATCAGAAATCTGTACTTGAACGAGTTGGCACAGTTACCATGAATAATGCAACCCTTTTGAATCAAAATAAATTGCCTTTCTATGGTGGAAAGTACATATCATTTACAAATAAACAGGGAGCAATACTTGTACCATGTGTGAAGGCCTCTGAAAGTATTGTGACATCAAACTCCAGTGGTGAGTTGTTGATTCTCTGTGTTGATAAAACTGGGATAAGAAAAATCTGCCTTAATGTTCTTGTGTTTACTGTTGTTATGTAACTGTAAACAGAAGTTTAGCTTTTCCTATTATATTATGCAAATTCAGGTGATCCAAATGGAGACATTTTGTCAGATAGTCATCAAAATGGATTTGTGGAGAAGAAACCGTTGCAGGCAACGTTCCCCAATGGTTTTGAGGTGTATTTTTTGGATATATATATTTTCTATTTACCTTTTATCAACGTGAAATGTTATTTATTTATTTTTTATTTTTGGCATCATCTTTATAATCCTAAAAGAAGCAACTAGTCTCTTGATGATTTTTCCCCCAATCTGCAGCAGTGTTCTTCAAGTAGATGTATATTTCAACTGTTGTAGACATTGCTCCAATAGATATGGTTGAAATACTAGTATTTTCTTTTGAATCTCATGACTTGGATTTCAAAGTTAACGAAAACATTAAGTGTTGTATCTGCCAAGATTTTTGGAAAATAGTTCAGAAAATTATGTTTTCGTGTTTTATAAAATATGGTTTTGGAGTTGACTTATGGAAGGGTTACTATGAATTTTCTCTTGAAACTAGATAAAATTACATCTCATATGAACCATCAAATCATTTTTTTCTTGGTCAAGGCAAGAATATAACACCAATACTTCTAGGAATTTTATTCGTTGAATTTGAAGTGTTTTGAAATACCACGAGGCAAAGCACAAAATTCAATCAAGCACAGAATTTATGGAAGTTATTTTATTCCCACAATGTACTATTTTCCGTTTGAGTTCTGGTGTTTCCATTATAATCATATGAGGATGATTTTTTATCCGTCAAAATAAGAGTATGTTTATTTGAAAAGTAGCGACACCTGTTAGCATTCCATGGCTATGTTTCATTAACTTTCGTTCTTGACAAGTTCATTAACTCTTTGGTAGTATGGCTCCACAAAAATGTGTTTCTTTATTGATCTCTTGCTTTACCTAGTTGTCATTATGCCTGAACTTATACATGCAAGAAAAAGTATTGGTTTGTGGAAATTTCATGGTTGTAAATACCCTTCCTTGCGTTCTAATCTTGCATGTCCTAGTACTAGTGATAAGGGTGATATATTCTTTCTTAATTGTTCATTGAAACCTGACAAGCACACTTGTTTGATATATTTCAGGCACTACTCACAGAACTCTGTGAGGAGACAAAAGTTGCAGAGCTGAAAATTAAGGTGAATCTATTTCTCCGTCGCCTTGTTTGCATTTATGTGAATGTGTATTGTTGGGTCATTCAGGAAATGTTGAACTTTAGAGTATATGCCAACAAGTGGATTTGAAACGATTGAGGACAAACTAGGAGAGACAATTAAGGTAGTTTGGGCTTGTATTGTGCCAAACAAACTTGGTTAGTAGAATCTAAGTTGAACATGATAGAAGTGGTAGATATTGTCCAAACTTAACTTGGCGTGTTATGGTTGTGAAAATTAAGTTGAATTGGATCTTCTAGTTGATATAGTGATAAACCACATGGAATTGTGAAAAATGTTTCACATAACCAACCCCAAACTTATCGGAGAACCTGCGATTAGTTGTCATTATGATTCTAATCTATAGAGTTTGTCTTACCTGCATTATAAAGAATTCAAGAATTATGCTGGTGAACTTATCAGGAAGTAGAGAAAGAGGTAGCAATTTTTTTTTATCAGTGAACCATATATCCGGAAGATTTTTTAAAGGTTAGTCAAGTGAGTTTAATCATAAATGAAGCAATAAAACAGGTATGTCTAAAAATGTTTATTATCTACATATTGGTGAGCTACACTTCGTAATAACTCAGAATTCAATTCTCAGTGCCTTGCAATTATTGATGATTGCCAAGTAGGTTCATCTGTATCATGGCTTTATTTGACGTATCAAAACAAGCATCGAAGTTCTGTACATTAGTTTGTTTGTGAGTGATCCACAAGAAATGACAAGGTTATGGTCATTGTTTCACATTGTGATTGCTTCATATCATTAAATTACCCACATGTGAAGTCCAACTTGCGTTTTAACCTTGATGTTATAGTAGTTCTGAAATTGCAAGATAACATACAAACACATTCTGACCATCCCAATGTACTGTTTGGAAGTTCATGTTTTTGTGGACGTTTCTTTGTAACAGTTTGGAGGCTTTCAAATGCACGTGAAGAGGAATATTGAAACCACACCAACTCCTGCACCAGTTGTTTCACCCACATCTGCACCACCTGTTCCAACTAAACCAATGAATGAGTCAGCTCCTGTTGCTTCTCTACCATCACCACCAAAGTCTTCTGCAGAAAAGATTAGCCCATTCACTAACGTTTCTTCGGATAAGGCAAAAAAGTTGGCAGCACTGGAGGCTTCTGGATCAAGTGGCTATGTTATAGTATCGTCTCCACAGGTATGCATTGCATGACTTCTTATTGCTATTTATATGTGATGAAATGCTTTTAGTATCTCTTTTCAAATTTCCTTTTTAGGTTGGTTCATTCCGAAGGGCCAAGACTTTGAAAGGAAAGAAGCAACCTCCTGCTTGTAAAGAGGTATTGCCTTACGAGAGATTTTGCCTTCTCGATTTTCTTTCTTTCATGGTTTATTTTTTGGGTGGAGGCATATAACACTTCTTGGACTGACTTTTTCCTTTATAGAACCCTATTCCAACTGCTGCATTCTTTATTTCAAACATTCAGCATGTCCAAGCACTCGAAACAGCCAATACTGAATTGTTGGGAACATTTGTCTCAGAAAATGATTTTTTGTTTAGGAATATTCTGGCTCCTTTTACTCTAGTTGTGAAAATTCATAATATCTTCCAACACCACCCCCCGGCCCCCCAGAAGAAACAAAGCATCTTTTTATGATTCATCTCTGTACTTTCATCTTTCAGCAATTAGGTGGATGGTGTTTCTTTATGCATCAGTTTTTCATTGACTATTTACACAGTAGTGTCTTATGGTAGCGTTGTAAATTGCTGACTGTTGATAATGTGATACACCTCTTCAATTTATGGTACTCAAATTGGCGTAGTGATTTAAAGTATCTTTGCTTATGCGCAGGGTGATGTTATCAAAGAGGGACAAATAGTAGGCTTTTTGGATCAGTTTGGAACAGAACTTCCAGTCAGAGTGAGTCTCTGTTTCAACTTTCAATTTTTTCTAATATAACTCTGCATTCATTCTGATCCGCTTATAATGTTTTCTCCTTTCATCTTGGTCCGGAAATTGTATCTGAGCAGTCAGATGTGTCTGGAGAAGTCTTGAAGCTCCTTTATGACGATGGAGGTATGATTTCATGTCATCGATATTTATTTATTATAAATGTGCTATCATGTGAGATTTTGGGTATTCTGTTTCCATGAACCCCACTCTAGAAAAACATGATGAGAATAGGATAATAACGTTATACTTCATATTATATTTCCCTAAAAAGAACAAAATACTGGTCAATAAAAAAATAAATGCCCTTATAAATTTTTCCCTTGTTTCATGTTTTTGATCCTACAATTATGAGTTTCAGAAAAATTCCTTTAATTAAGAAGCTAATGTAGTTCTTTGAATTCTTGAAAAATAAAAACTATTATTGATTAACTTTTTATTATTCATGTGTTATTTAATCATCAGAATTGACGGAAAATTATCAAGATTTACTTTTAAATGGGTTGGCTAAGAGAAATGAGAATTATTTAATTTGGGAGATTCACTGGACCGCAATGCTTGGATCTATTAAATTAATTCAAGCTAGATTCATTTTCCTGGTGTGCCAAATATGTATCTCTTTTATTTCGATTGTTACCTGGCGAAAATCAATCTACGAGGAAGAAAATGTCATCTTTAGACAAAATATTTTGTGAATATTAAAATTAAACAGTTAATCAGGAAAGTCATTTGCTGCTGCATTAGGCCCGTGGTTCAAATTATATCATTTCAAGCAATTGCTTCATGGTGCTTTTCAAACATGTTTTGATATTCATCTATTTCTATGGTAATGTCAAAAATCAGAATATATGCCAGTGAACAAATAGTTAGGATCTCATATAGGCCTTTATGACCCCAGCCAATGCAAAATCATTTCACCTTTTTAATTGGAACTTAAGGCAGTTCTCAAGGTGAACCAGGAACAGAGAGCTTTCTCCCCTTTCAGCTATCTTGATTCAAAATTAGAAGTTGGAACATATGAAATGCAATCACTATTGATCTTTATATTTTCTTTTTTCAGCATTTGATTTGTTTTCCTTTTTTTCCTTTTTTTTTCTTCGTTTGAATTAATAAATACAACTAATATCAATTTGATTATATGTACATCATCTTTACACACTATGTTTTAACTTTTCAAGATGCTTTTCCTTAAATTCTCTGATGTCTTCTGCCTTTTGTCCTGAATCTCGTGTGATCTTATGAACTTTTGAGTCAGTTCTCGCCTCTCTTCCCTGCTTACTACAATTCCAAATTGCACGTGTTTTTTCATCTTACTGAAGGGAAAGCCATAACTTGAATGAGTTATATGCTTATTACTTATTTGTGCGAACATTTTAGGTTGGTTGAGTGTATATGCTTATTGCTTAGATTTTACTTTATTTTTGCTTCCTTTGTACATTTACAGAGGCTGTTGGTTATGGAGATCCCCTGGTAGTTGTCTTGCCGTCATTTCATGACATCAAATTAACCTGAAGCAGTGGCTTTCATTAGAATTTCATGTGTTGCCGTCATTTTGGTATACTTAATTTCTAGTTAGATTTTTTTTTTCTCCATCTGTAATATCAGACTAGCTTTTTCCAAAATTTCTATCTGAGATTCAATATGGATGCTCCGTGGAGAGTGAGCTGTGAGCGCAATAATTGAAAACAGTGTGAAATCAACTTGACCCTCAATTTTAGTTAATGTCAAATACCACCCCTTATACAACAGTTGCCAAGCTACAAGCACAGAAAATAAATGTACAGAACCGGTAGAGAATACACACATGCAGGGGTGCTTGGGTTAGTTTATGCAATATTTTAATTCACACAGGGTTCGCTTCCATGTGAGTGTTTGTGAGCCTTCTGTAGATTATTTTTCTGTACAATCGACTTTTTTCATACAACAGTCAGCTCCTAATTGAGGTCACTTGAGTAATGTTATTCATAGCCCACGACCGTAATAGTCATCTTTTGTGGTAGTTTGTTATTTGAGGCATTTATTTGTTTTAATTTTGTTACTTTAAATTACAAGCCAATGCTTTAAATAACAAGTTATTACGTTACGTAGTTGATTGTGAATAACATTATTCAAGTCACTTTGTGTCATTGAACTTTTTCTTAGAATAATTGTGTTCGAATGCACGAATATTAGATAGTATTTAATGATTGGGAGCAGTGGCGAATCTAGATCCAAGTCTAGCTAGGGCGGATTGATCGTTGATCGACAACGATCGTAATAGTCTGATTGTTTATTAAAATTTGATTACATAATATTAAAAGTTATTCAATATATATGTAAATGAACTAAAACGTCAAAATCGTATACATATGAAAATATATTTCGATGCAACACAAAATAGTAAAAAAATATATACGATACAACCTTACTCAGTTACTCTGTAACTGTAAATTTAAACAACTGTATTTTACGGGGTCTCATGATTTGAAAACGATGCAATATTGCCTCATTCTCAAGTTTTTTAAAAATAGCTTTTCCACATAAACCACCAAATTGTCATTCAACCAGTCATCTCTCATTTTGTTGTGCAAATCACTATTGATTAGATTCATAGCAGAAGATACCCTTTCAACACTTGCAGTTGCCACAGGTAATAATAAAGTCAAGGTGAGCAGCAATGGAAAATAATAGGAACTTCTAGTTTCAATCAACTTCTGAGCTACACAGGATATACTATGGAGATTAAAGAAAGCTTCGTCCATTCTCACAAGTAAAAGAAACTTATCAAGTTGAGGTCTAAGTAATAAAAGTTCTTCACTATTGAAGTCCAAAGGATAACTGAGCAAGACGTAGCAATTTATCCTTATCAAAAGCTGCAAATGAATCTTTTGGACTTAAACATGAAATGTAAGTAAAGAGCTCAGTAGTTGTTTCTGGAAATCGATTATTCAACTCTTGCAAGATTGATTCTATCATATGACAATACAAATCAACATAAAAGCGATGAAAATAAGTCACCTGCTGAGCTAAACGCCTAGGTTGACCTTTCACTACTACAATATCCTCCATATTAGGCACTAAAATATGTCTATCAACACAAGACTCAATCACCCTACTGAACAAAGTAACCCAACCATTCTCTCTCAAGTTCTGCAATGCACACTTACACAAATTCAATAACCTCATAGCATTCTGAATATCCTAATCCTTTTCTGTAAGGCTTGTGAAAGGTCATCTGTTATTGCAAGAATTTCAAACATAAAGTGAAGACTGAACACAAACTAAAAATCTTACATATTGTTCATCTGTCTTAAGGCCGAAGATTTTTGATCTGAATGTATGCCATCTTCTCATATATTCTCAAGAATATCTATAATAACATTAAACATATTAATGAAACGAGTAACTGTAAATAAATGTGAGCCCCACCTAGTATCACCTGGGCGTGCCAAACTCATTTCTTGAAACTGGCCACTTTCACCAGTAAGTTTCCCAGTATTAAGTTTCTCCAGAATATTAGCTTGATAACTTGCTCGAAGAGCATCTACACGCTTACATGATGCACCAACCAAATTCACAATAATAACAAGTACGTCCAAAAAATCACCAACCATACAATTCCTACGTGCCACATATACAATTGCCAACTGAAGCTGGTGAGCGAAACAATGAACATACATAGCACGTGGGTTCTCTCTAAGAATTAAAGCTTTCAACCCATTAAACTCACCTGACATATTATTTGCTCCATCATAGCCTCGACCTCTCAGACTAGATATACTCAACCCATGTGTAGAAAACATTGCATCAATGACATCCTTCAGTGATTGGGCACAAGTATCAGTGCCATGGGACATACCCAAAAAATGCTTCTTCACTCACCCACTTTTATCAACAAACCTTAAAACAACTGCTATTTGTTCTTTCACAAAATTATCACGAGCTACATCAACCAAAATTGAAAACAAAGAATCACCAATCTCATTGATAATAGCCCTTGTCGTCTCCACGGCACAACAATTAACAAAATCCTTTTGGATGGTTGGTGAAGTCATTTGGTCATTTTCAGGAGTATTACTAAATAATACTTCTTTAATTTCCTTACAACGAGCTACATACTAGTTCAATAACTCAATTAGATTTCCGCTATTAAGAGACTCTTTCGATTCATCATGACCAAGAAATGACAATCCTTGCATCAAGAGGAGTCTAGTACAATCTAGCACCGCAGTCAACCTGGTCTAACTTTGTTATTGACTACTACTTTGGCTAGAAATAACGTAAGAGATACTTTGCTTTTGATTCATCAAGTTGGTACACTTTGCAAAAGCTTGACTATGAGAACTATCAAAGAGATCGACACGATCTTTCAATGTCTTTTTGTGCTTCCAATCCCTAAAGCCGGTCTTAGTAAATATATGTCCACCCCCTTGACCCCCTCTATCAGGTTTGAACAGGTAGCAATGCAAACAATACACCGCATCCTTTTCTATACTGTATTCCAACCAATGAAATTTGGAGAACTATTCTTTTCGAAAACATCTATTATCATTCCCCATCGGTCTTCTTGGAAAATCATGTTCATATGGTTGACAATGACCTTTCTCCAAGTATGTCATCCTAACAATATCTCTGATATTAGGACCATATGATTCGATAGGGGGCGTATCCCTGGATCAGATACAAGATCATCCACATTAAATTGAGCCCGAGACTTCTTTGTGTTATTCAATAACTCTTGTGCTTGACTAGAATCAATGGCGAGACTAGATGCACAACTAGAAGTAGAAGAATTGGGTATGAACTTTCGTTTTGGTTGAAAAAATCGTTCCATAATCTACAAAATGTCATCCTAAACGTGAATTCCCAAATCAATAATCATTCCTAATATCCTATTCCCTCATCAAATCATAAATTACTCATCATAAATCACAATTCGCAAATACAATTTCGTAAACATAAATTTCCAAATTAATAATCATAACTCATCATGATAAAACGTAAATTACTTATCATAATTCATAAATCACAATTCGCAATTCGCAATTCGCAAACATAAATTCCCAAATGAATAAATAATAACATAATTAATATTAAAATTTTCAAATGCTCAACAATCAACATCAATAACTCCAAAATAGAACAAAATCAAAACAAAATAGGCAGACTTTGAGTAGCAAGGGCAAAACAAAATCGAACAAAATCAAAATAGCCAAACAATTGAAACAAAATAGAACAACACGTCAACACCTAAACCCAAAAAAAAAAATTTTAAAAAAATGAGAAACTTTTACATTCTCCATTACTTTTTGAGGCCCCTAAATAATTTTGAAATACGTGGGAACAGATGCACGCATTTGATTTCAAGGGTTTTAATAGTGCACAACATAAAACGTTGTTGAACCAGAGGAAATACCTGCTAACAGCCTAAATAGAATAGCAAATTGTGAGATTAGACCAAAAAATATAATCATTTGAAGAATAACCTTTGAAAAATAATTTTTCCAAAAATACCCTTCATAGAGAATTTGGAACCAAAGCCATTACAATGTATAAAAATCTTCGATTAGGTCCCCAAAGAAATATAGATCATAAATCTTTAACAAATTTAAACCCAAAAATTATACAAAATTTTATTGATCTAAGAAATGCAACATATAATGAATTAAATTATTTAAAAGAAGATCTGAAAAGTTTCTTTACAGAATATTTAGATCCAAAATTAAAACATAAAAATGTTTATATAGATAATAGAGCAATTAAAATAGAAAATAATATATATAAACAAATTCTTAAACTGGAAAGAAGAATTAACAAATTAAATATAATTATTAAAGAAAATGTTTTAACTAAAGATAGTGAATTTTATAAATTCTATTGTGATATTATAAATACTTATGAAGAATTTAATTGGATTCAAAATCTTAAACCCTCCGCTGCACGCTCTGAAGAAATGGTATCAGAGCCATGTTACGAACCTAAAATTATGATGAACATAGTAGATGAAGAAAATATAATTGAAGATTTTTGAAAAAAGTTGAAAAACATAAAAAATCAAGTTATCCCTATTTACCTAATAACACCACAAATGAAAGTTTTGAGGATATACATAAAAGATTAGAAAATTTAGAACATAATCTACAAGTAGGAAATGCTCTTTTAGATAAAAGCCTTAAAGGAAAAGATAGGATTATAATTAATCCACCCCAAGATTTTAGGATAACACAAAAAGAAAATAATAAAGGGAAAAGACATGAAGAAAATAATATATGATTACAGATGTAGAAGAACTAGAAAAAAAATTCTTAGAATCTACTGGTGAAGAGTATGATGAATATAAAAAACAGTTAGAAGAATTAACTGAAAGAATGAAAAATACTAAGATGAATACTAATCCATCAACAAATCAAAATATAAAAATAGAATTCAATAGTGATGAAGAATACGATTATCCTTATTATACTACTATACCTCTTAAAGAAGGTATTAATCAATATAGGAAAATACAGAAGAGATACACTGAAAATATAAGAAGAGATACACTGAAAATATAAGAAAACAGTCCATAAAAGAAACAAATCCAATGAAATCTTACAATGAACCAATCCACACAACGGGAATATGGTTAGATTTAGACTATGTAGATAAAAATAAAGCTATTGAAACATGGATGAAAAGTACAGACTTAGAAATACAAGTTAATAAATGGAAAACATATACAGCCTTTGGATTTATATAACATACATTCAGAGGAATTGTTTCTGAATGATGGAGAAAGTTACCAGAAACTATTAAAGGAAGAATAAAGTATGGAGAATGTAGAACTGAATTATTAGATAATAGGAATAGTTTAAATGATCAAAATATACAAGAAATATTAAAAAGGTTTGAAAAAGCCTTAAGAATAGAGTTTTTGAGAGATAGACATGCTTCCAATGAAGAAGAAAGAAAACAAGATGAATATAATGAAGAAAACAAGATGAATATAATGAAGGAATGATAGCAATGAAAAATTTAAGGATATGTGATATGTGTGAATTAAAAAGATATACATTTAAATTTGAAGAATTATACTATATATTAAATCAATGAGATTATCAAGAAAATAAACATATACTAAGGTCTTATTTTACAAAATTACCATTCTCATGGGGAACTAAGTTATTAAAAGAATATGAGAAATTACTACCTTTAGGAGAAGAGAAAGGAGTAAAAATAGATAGTCTTGGAAGTAGGATTAAATTTACAAAAAAAATGATAGGCATGTGGTGCAGAGAAACTCTTGAGAGTAAAAAAACATACAAAATAAGAAAGAATTCTTTGTGTTGTTACAAAGATATAGGTCAAATTAAACAATTTGGATGCCATAAGAAGAAATATAAACCAATTCAAAAACTACAAAAAATTTAAGAAAAGAAATTTTAAGCCACACAAGAAATATTTCAAGAAAAGAAATTGGGATAAAAAATCCAAATCACGAAATATTAAAAAATGTAGATGTTTTATTTGTAACGAAGAATGACATATTGCCCTACAATGTCTTAAAAAGAAAGATAGATAGAATATAAATTTTTTTAGAATTTATAAAAAATTTCAAGAAGATAGTGAAATAGAACCAATTGAATATTTTGAAAATTTAAGTAGTGAATGTAGTAGCATTTATGAATTAAATACATCCTCATCAGGGGAAGATTTTGAGGAGATTGTATATATGAATCAAGAGATACAACAAACAGATCTAGAAATAGATGTAGAAACAATTGAAGAAGTTGAAGACTCGATAGAAAGAATAAATCAAGAAATTACCTTTTATATTAAAAAATACAAAGGAATAATAAAAAAAAATATTAGACCTACAAGAAAAAGATGTATTCCAACAAGGATTTTTAGGAATACCACTAAGAGTAAATAAAACAATTGTAAGTATGAATTATAAAGAAATGTCTATCAATATAGAAAATACTATAGGAAAAACAAGAATTCCTATAATTACAAAAGAATGGGTAAAACAAAAGTCATCCAAAATTCCAGAAAATATAAGAAACAAATTAAAATGTGTTGAAATAGGAGAAGTCCAGATAATGGTAAAAGGATTCTTTAGAAAATGTATGAACATACCAATAGAAATATACTGTATGGACGACAGAATCTTACAAGATCTTATAGATGCTCTATTAGGAACAGTTGTAGGAAACTTAGTCTATCAAACGATAATATTTACAGTAAAAGCAAATTATGCAATATCGTTAATTGAAGAAAATATTGACCAAAGTTTCAGTCTATATTATAGAATTGAAAACTTGAAAATATTACGAAAAAGTAAGGCTATTAGTATAAGCATAAAATCAATTTTTGCTTTTAGTACTAGCCATCATAACAATTTAAGAAAAATAACTGATAATGTTATCATACATAAAGATTTTGAGGAATTAGTACAATATATACCTCCTAGGAAATACCAGGAACATGAAGTCACTATACCAGAAATTAATTCTGAAGGAAAACTGATAAGAAGAAATAATATCAATTGGGAAGGAGATAATCTTATTGCAAGATTCCCCTCTAGACACGACTCTAAGATAAGCAAACTCAAGAAATTAAGTATTACTGGACCATCAAGTTCGCAATATTATATCAAAACAAGATATGTAAATCAAGAAGGATATAAGAAGAATCTTCTTGTCCTCATTGACACTGGAGCAGATAAAAGTCATGTAAATGCTAAATTTGCTAGTCATTTAATAGAATTTGAAATGCCAGAACCCTATATATTCAAGGATTATTTAGGAAATAATATTGAAATAAGGAAATATGTAAAGTTCCCTCTTATACTTATGGGAGATGATCAGAAAGAATA